GTGCTGTAAACAAAGGTGAGGTGTATATAACAGGTTAATTACTAACGTTACAAATATGATAGGGTAACGGTAGTAGGTATGTTATGCTTCACAATACGTTGACATTGAAATAGGGACGCTAAGTTGAACTCAGAGACGCACTGATCACGACTATCGCCTAACTACGCCAACAGTAGTATACGTCAGCCACCTGTTTCTTCAGCCCGCACTACTTAGAAGAGCCGCAAAGTATACTTCACGAAATGATGAATAATTTAAAATATCACCAGGTTTGTTTCCATTAGTCTGTAGTCATGATCAATGAAACAGTTGGCATTATTTTACATTGGCCAATTCTGACTGATTTATTTTCAGACTAGACATCAACCACCATTATCAGGTCTCCACTTGCACGTGTTTTTCACATTGTGCTTTTTTGTCATCCTTTTCTTCACAAGAACCTCCTGTTTGCAACCTAGTTCACTGCTCCGATATTCAGTATTCTTACGGAAGGGATTGAAGACTCAGTATACTACTTACAAACTCTTGTTAGTAAGATATCCCCTAATAGTAGTAAGTCATAGATAGTACTAAAATATTTTTAATTCTAAAGCTAGTTCAGACGTGTATGTCGGAATATGAATCGCCTTGAGAATGATGGTGTATACAGTTTACTGCCTTACTGTTTGACGAATGATTCGGAGGCAAACGAAGAATAAGCTAGATAGTTTTGCCACATATGTGTGCATTTATCAATTGAACTGCACCTGTGGTGACATTTATGTTGGCCGTAGTACTAGACAGCTTGGCCAACGTGTTAGTGAACATCTCCCATCATGGTTTGGCAAAGGACAAACAAAAACAATCCGTAGCTCAATTCTGTCACATTTAATTGATATTGGTCATGTAGTCGAGAAAACGAGAGCCTTCAAAGTAATTCATCGTATCCCACTGAATCGTCCCAATAGACTTCGTATTCATCTACTGCCCACAGCTGAGGCGATAAGCATTCAGACTATTAAACCCTCCCGTGGCCTAATAAGACATAACCAACTAAAGACTTCTACACCACCCCTTATTTATATTTCCAACCCCTTTCTTATCATCCCTTAATCTTATCTTCATTATAAACGTGTTTCATTTCCTTCCCTACAATCTAACATTACGTAATCGGTTCATTTGTTTTTACTAGCCTTTATAGACTACTTCCACCTGAACAATTGTTTGTTTAATCATACTGTTTCTCATTATTCCTGTTATCACAGATTGCCTCATTTTTTCATCCTTATTATTGACAAGACCATTATTATTATTACTATTATTAATATTATCATTACCACTGTTATGACTAATTGCACAATTTATATTCACCATCGTATTATCCTATAGACAAAACACCGTGATTGGTTTATATTTTGATTTTATTTGTAAAGTCATTTATATTAGAGTTAATTAGGCCTGATGAGATCTAATTGAAAACAATATTGTTCGCTTAAATGTGCTGTTCTAAACTAAGTTGTACATGAAACCATAGTATTAATGAATAAATGGAGGTATTTCATGGAGAGTGAGACAAGCGCTCTACAAAAGTATCAATTGGTACATATTAGAATGTGATTTTCAAGGATTACATCATTTGTGAACTCTAGTACTTGTTCAGAATATTGTGATCTTTGACTTCTTAACTTTTTGTGAAACCATTTCAAAGTTGGTTATAATTACTGAGTACAATACACTGCTTACTATATTTTATTATTATTCCTTTGGGTTGCGAGTGGAACATAGGGCTTCAGCAACATACCTCCACTTTGTTCAATCTTCTGCTATCCTCTCTGGCTAGCTAACCACACGATTGCCCATAATCTCTCATCTCCTACTCCCAACACAATCTTCTCTATGTCACCCTCACACCGACGACCCACTCGTCACTTCCCATTAGGATTCCATTCGAACGATGGCCTACATTGTGCAGGATGTCATTCGATGGCCTCCTCAACGTTATACCCGGCCAATCTCCATTTTCTCCTACATATTTGTTGAGCGATCGGTTCTTGGTTGGCCTGTTCCCAGCCAGAGTTTCTTGCTGCTAATTCTCTCTGGCCAGCCGTCTGATCTTCAGTATGGAGTCAGCCAGTAAAGGTGGCAGCTGTCGATAAAAATCTGCAGCCACCTGTTGAAACGTTTTCCATGACACTCTGGTCAAGTTTCTGAGCCGCATATAAGAAGTGACTGACTGACTTTACATTTGTGTTGAAAATCTGAATCCTGCTGTTTATACTGAGGCGGAGTGCAGAAGATTTCCAAACTGGTTTCAGGTTGATGAAGGTGTATCTTGCATCCCCTATTCTGGTTGGCCAGCTTTGACATCTTCATCCGTGCTGTCCGACTCCCTATGTTTGAGACGGTGCTTCTGGTGAGATAATTGAGTAAAGTAACCTCTGTCAAGTCTCTCCCGTTGATGGTGATTGGTTGTTGTTGTTGTTGCTGCTGATGTTCGTTGGTATCTCCATCATCTCCGTCTTCTCTATATTCGTCTGTAGTCTTTTATTCGCCATTTTGTCCTTTTCGCCTGGAAGTCTTCAAGTTTGTGTGACATTAGACATAAATCGTCCACATGTGAAATCTAGATCTTCTAGAGTCTTCGTAGCGGTGGTTCAACATATTTCTGTCTTCTCATTCCCCACAATCTGACGCATATCTTTGTCACTTCTGTCTTCTCTATGTTCATCTGAAATTCTTTTGGTTTTCGCCTACAGATCTGCTACCTTTTTTTGATAATTACTATCTAAATACCTTAAAATATAACAAAAATATTTAAAAATAATCTTTTTGTCTCTTTTTATGGACTACTGATGCTTAGTCATCATGTCTATATAATAAACACACGCATATGTGTACTCAATCTACTGCATTTTTCTCTGTCCGTTGCCAAGTTACTCTCATTCTGAAAATAAATTATTCAATCCATTTCAACAAAAAGATTTCTGTGTATGCGTGTTATGCATATAATATATATGTATGTATCTCTGTGACAAAAGCTTTATTTATCACATCACATCTATAAGCCGACGTAAAAATAACGCGGATATTTTAAGCGAGAAAGAGAGACCCAAAAAGAGAGAGAGTAGACTGCAATATGAAAGTATTCATGAAATATCCCGACGTCGTGGTGTTAAAAAAAAAACACAACAACAACTACAGGATGATTCATCCATAGGTGGTTGACATTCATTCATTCATCAACAACAACACCAGTAGTAGTATGTATGTATTAATTATTAATGAATGACTGAATCATAAATTGTATTACACTTTTCATATGAAGAAATAAAAGAAAAAATAGCGCAAAGTTTCACATTTCAAACTAGACAATAATGACGTCTTGTGGTGGGTGGTGGTTAGTCAGAGTGTTAGTCACAGTTGACTGCTAAAGCGAATCTTGAAAAGAACGTGTGCGTCTGGTGTGATAGAATGTAGTAAATATGAGACCGTATTTGGTACCGTTTGATGTCATGGTGATCACCAAAAATAAACCGTATTTTGAGGATATATAGTGAGAGCAGTTCTGTTAGAGTATTGTATCAGGTGTTCTCTGCAGTTATTTAAACAAAGGTTGCATATATTCATAAACAAGAAAAGATACTTTTGAGAATGTAAATAGATTTTTTAAAAATAAATCAGTACACCATAAAAATGATTTAAGTTTAAACATGGACTGATATCAGTTTCGTCCTAACTTGGGACTTTGCACTCATATACACTGAAAGTCGAACTTAGAATCCATGGGCTGAAGGATTTCTTCTCGTTAACTAGAGGAATATCACAGATTCTTTCCTCGATAAAGTCATGGGTGCGTGCTGCTGAAGAGTTCTAAACTAGGATGAGATAGTACTGTCCACTACTCCTTGGTTTTCAATGGCTCTTTCTGTGAAACCAATAAAATCTGTACAAACTAACACTTGACAACTTAAAAGATAACTGAAGGAGTACTTCGAAATCATAGACTACAAGAGCTTTTATTCTGTACATGTTATACATGTGGGATAAGATTTACGTGTTCTATGAATACATTGACTGAGTGACTAAGTTTCAACGTGGAACTTTTCACAGAATTGCAGCAGTTTTATGATGTCACACTCTATGTAGCATAAAATAGTAGGAAAATTATATGTATTTAGATTAACTTTAATGAGTGGGAGTTTCCTAAAAAAAATAATAAAATGGAAAATCATAACAGTTTAGTGGATAAGGGAGAGGTCACAAAGAGTGAATGCATCTGTGCAGTTGAGAACGATTTAAAGCCATATCACTAATTGAATCAATTGAATTTTAGATTTTCCCGTCGATTGATTGGACCGAAGTGCTCAGTCTCAGGTTGACATGTCGGCTTCTTGTGCAGATGCTTCGGCGATCTCTGGGCATGTCATTAGAAGTTAATTGGTGGATGGTGACTAGCAGTGGAATCCAGGATGTGCTGTAGCGACCCAAGTGGTCTAGTGGATAACGCTTTGGCGTTTGAAAATATGGGCACTGGGTTCCAGCCTCGGTGGGAACATCACCACTAATCGGGAAGCGCAGATGCATCCAGTTGTCGAGTCCCAAATAGGACGAAGTGTGCGTTATCCTGGATTCCACTGCTAATCAGTCACCATCCACCAATTAAATTCATATCATCAATAGTCTCAAATCATAGACTTATTGCCTTTCAAGAACTCCAACCATCAAACAGTTAACGTCTGTCTATTTGGCTGGTTCACATCAACAGTCAAAGATGTAATGGATTGATGTCATCTTTTGGTGTGATTATCTGTCACACTTTTGAACCTAATCTTGTGTTAAATAACACTGATCATCGAAGAAGCCAGTGGCTTGGTATGCTTAACACAATATAATGCCATTTCTTATTGTTTTAGTCAACCAATTATGTCTTCAGCACGTTACTAAATGAACTCATGTTTAGTCGTATTGCTTTGTTTTATTTTATTTATTTATTTATTTTGATCTCTTTTTTATTTTCAAAGGTACATTTCAAAGTACGATTTGATGCAAAAGATTTTGCTCCAGAAGATATTGAAGTGACTACAGTTGACAATCATTTACGTGTTCATGCTAAAAAATCAATTAAATCAGGTAATACAACAACTGTACGTGAATTTCATCGATCTGTTGATCTACCAAGATCTATTGATCATGAACACTTTCAATGTCATTTAACAGAGGTAAGATAATATTCTTTTTTCGTATGTATATATATTTGTACCACTGTTAAAGTGTAATACATGATAATTTACTTTTCTATAGTTCGGTTTGTAAGGGTTAATTTTGCTTTTTACGAGTTGATCATGGATTGATATCAGTTAGAGAACCATTGAAAACCATGGAGTACTGAACAGCTGTTTCATCGTAGTTTGGGAATCATTGGCAGTACGCACCCATCGACAGGGTTCGAATCCAAGACCTTCCATGATAATTTAGTTGGTACTCAGATTTCTGTTTCACTTGCCACACGCTGGCGGTTTTAGGTCGATTCCCAGTCGACTCACTTCTAAACCTCGCCATATTTACTAACTATGAAAAGGGGGAAGACTCATCGTGTGAGGTTAGCAATCTCCCCTACCCCCTAGATCAACTCCAATGTCATTCCAACTACAACATCTTCCACTCGGAAGACAAGGGATGAAATAAAATATCGATAAAAGTCTGCACACTGAAAACCATCTCATTTAGTTTCACTATGGATTAACAAATTGCTTCTCTCCAACTGATTCAATATGAATACGATTGACAGTTAAAGAAAGATCTAACTGGGCAGCGAGTGTGGTAACATTTGGTTCATATAGTATCAATTATTCACACTACTGTAACAGTAGGAGTCAAAAGACGTGGTAAAGAAATGTTATATTGATTATTAGGTGTGTCTAAATAGCCAAATTATGCGCACTTTATTTTCAACGCATCATTTGCACGGATCTTCCATGTTGTGCTATGATATATATCCATATAATATGTGTGTTTGTTTGACAGTTTGTCCTTGGTGATATATCCATATATATGTGTGTTTGTTTGACAGTCTATATTTGCTATGTATATATGGATCGATGTTCCATTATAATTAGCCAATCATGTTAAGACTGTCTATTGATTTGTTCATTTTGAATATTCGCTCACACACTTGATCGGACACTCTTATATATTTTTGCTCTCACACTCTTGTGTGACATATTGATTCTCCTGGTGTTTTGGAAAATAGAAGTATCATCGCAAACCTAGTGGTCTTCTGATTCCCGTCTTTCTTGCGTCAGGACTATTAAATTCTCGACCAGTACATAACATGCTACTTCTGACCTTCCTTCGTATTGTGTTTTCTTGTGTTCCTTTCATATCTCCCATGGATCTCCGCAACGCTGTATCATTCGCTTTGTCTGATATCATATCTATGTATCTCTCTACTATTCGATGTTTTTATGTCAGTGAACACTTCTTTCTATACTACTGGTAAATCTTATCAGTAGCACACGACTCGCAACAATGGGCATTACCCGTGATGACTGTAGTGAAATGAAACCTAATTAGCTGTTAAGTTATTTAGCTTAGCTGGCAGTTTGGAAGTCACTACTTCGAATCCTTCCAAGACACAAATTTCTATTCCCTTTCAATAACAACCCAACTTACCATCTATGCATTCTATATTAAGCAGCACAATAAGCTTTCAAATATTTTTCTTGAAAGCAATATCAGACTACTATTTGTTGACCATCGTTGAAAGTTGGCTTCAAAAACGCAGCAATTAATTGAGGACATTATTGAGAAAACCATCAAGTGACATCACAGGCTAGGCGATCGTTCGAGTGGAGCTCGAATGGAAGCAGGGAGTTGGTCGCCAGTGCTAGGGTGACATGGAGGAAGTCATGCGAAGAGGAGATTAAAACAAAAGGGGAAAACATGGAACCATGTCAAAACGTTGGCGGAGAACCGAACGCACTGGAAACGTGCGACTGAAGCCCTATGTCCCTCTAGGGACTAAAGAAAACAATAATAGTAATATAATATGCTGTTTAGCTACAAGTTCGATTATGGAGGGATATCAGTTAAAAAACTATTCAAAAAGAAGAAATACTGAACAGTACCGCTTTGTTCTTGTTTAGAACTCTCCAATAATTTTCACTGACGACCCAAGTAGGATCGAACTCAGGGCTTTCAAGTGACAAGGCTAGCTCACTGAACACTTGTTAGCCCCTGGGACAGAATCCGATAGCCAACTCGTGAATTCTAACTTCTGGCTTGATATCGCTTGGTAGTGGTGCGAATACTCGCTAATTGATAGAAGGTCGAATCCATGGATTGGCCATTGGATTCCGTCCTAGTGTCTGAATAGTTAACAAGCTCGCCTTGTAACCTCAAAGTACTGGGTTCGATTGTGCGTGCATTGGGTGATCGATGTGTACTGATGAAAAATGCCCCAAAATAGGAGAAAAAACAACTGTTGAGTACTCCTCGGTTTTCAATTTGTGATTAGACTTCATGAACAATCAAATCCCCACAAAGTAACACTTGAAAACGTTACTGTCTATAAGTTTGTATGTTCGTTCACTTGTTCACATAATGCCTGTTAATGTTATATTACGTCAGAAGAATATATTTCATATCTGACCTTTATAATTCATGTATCGTTTGACTTCAGCTCCACTAGCTATCATTAATGTCAAAGTGGAAAAACTGAATCCAGATGCGAATTCATTAACCACTTGTTGTGTCTCTGATGTACTAAGCATTGTTTTAATTTTTTTCTTTTCTAACTATGAGTTACATCAAAATAAGTGAAAAACACTCATTTATAGAAGAAACAAAATAATTCTTTTCACAACTGTCGATAGTTCAATATTTTAGTCTGTCAACTGTTTGAGGAAAGTATTTCAAGACAATAAAAAAAGGAAACCTGGAATAACTCAGTGGTATCGTCTTTCACTGTCCCTCTGGGTTCAAATCTCCCCTATGCTCTGGATTGAAACCCAGCAAGCTTTGAAACCTGGGGTCAGGGCTTCCCGACAATTACCTTCAACCGCCTAACGTCAATTCAAAGAGTGTGGTGTTTTAAGAAAAGGTTACATAACTTATTTTTTTTAGGAATTTGATTAACCTTTCGGCTAATATTTTATAATTAACCTGGTTGTTTGTACTCAGGATAGCTGGCATAAACCTGTTGTTCATAGACTTGCTCATGCTTATGTGCTCGTAAAACGCTTAGTGAACAGTACGTGGTAAGATAGTCAACTGTGAAGTGTGGAATTGTTTTCTGGTTGTTCTAGATGCTTGACTTACATCCACTGAGTCATGCGTTGTAGTACTACTTCATATATATATTGAGATTTTTATACAGTCAACATAGTATCACCAGTTGTCATACAATAAGCATCTGTCATTGCTAATGACATGCGGGTGTAAGCGGTAGTTGATGAGTAATATCTCGTCCCACTTTTTCTATTATCCAACACTTAACACGAATGAATTGCTTGTGATGATGTGTAATAATTCTTCAACTCAATGATTACAATGATAATTTCATTCACATAATTTCAAAACAATGGGGTACCGTTAACCACTAATTCAATGAGCATCATGGGTGGTTGAGTGGTAGAATTCTCACCATTCACTCTGCATGTCGTTCGGGTTCGACTCCTAACAGATGCATTGCTAAACATCGCCTAACCAGTGGTAGACCCGTTAAAGAGTGAAGGTTGGGCGTGATGCTACCAACCAACCACGGCTCGTGAAAAAATCAAAAACAGAACGCTAACAATACTGGAATTTAAAGGCTCAAGCTTGAAGCCCATGGGGGTGTTCATTCAATGATAGTTAAACATAAACATTAGTTTGAATAAGGCATTTAAAAGACAAATTTCGCAAGATGATATCACCATTTCGTAGTTTCTTTCCAATCGCTTTAAAACTAACATGGTTCATAATAAGAAAATAAAATGCATAACAATTACTCAGTTAAATAAAACAAAAGTACATACTAATGACCAATCATATTTAAATAGGTCAAGTAGTCATCAGTCCATAGTAGGCGAAAGTTGAAGTCTATTTTTTTTGGACACATAGTTTAGGATGTATGTGGTTAATCCAAAGGGCTTTCATCACCTTTAATAACCTTGACTTAGAGTTTTGTGAAATAATTGTGAAGTTGTCGTTAATATTGATTTTGTGACCTGACATTAATAAGTGGATTTCTACTAAGATAAATTGGGATTTTCTCAATATCTTAATAACCATTTTGGAACATGTTCTATCAACGACCAAACTGGAACATTCTGTTGGTTCTACCTATATAGGTGTCACCGCAACTGCAGGTGAACTTGTAGATACAGTTTGACGTAGAGTTCACAGAATGTCGTCCTTGAATCGTAGTTACAGGGATCAAAAATGTTCGAGATGTTTAGGGGAAGAGATGTGGCGTAGAATAATGTGCGCTTGATGGCTGACTGAAGTCTTTGAGCTAGTTGTCTGCTGCATAATTTGATCACCCTTGAATAGTAGGTTAATAAAGATAGCATGCTTTGATACAGAAGTTGTCTTTTCAAGATGTGGTCTATCCTTACTGTGATAATTGATAAACTTTTCTGGATAACCATTAGCCAATAAAACTGATTGTATCTATCGTGGTTCATCTATCATCAATGTGTCTCTCATGCATATTCTACGGGCCCTTGAAAATAAACATTTCACTAAGAAACGTTGATACAGGATAGAAACAAAACTGGTGAAATGAAGAGAAGATATTGTCCACTCCATGTCTGTTTACGAGATATAGATCGCTTAATCGTTCGTCCCATCGTAAAGAAACTACGAAAAAATAAAGTAATCATCTCACGAAATTTGTTGTCTAAATCCCTTATTCAAATCTATCAGAAGGACTAATTGTTTTAATAGATTAGTTTGTTTTTGAAATTTAAAATATATTATGACTAGATTTTGATAAAACAAATATAGTTGAAGGTCAAATGGAACGTTTCATGCACTTTTGATCTCCGTGTCTATAACAAAGGGGCTTTGTATTTTCTATCATATTTTGGCATGATGAATGTACTTTCTTAAGAGTTTGTTTATGTAGCATATTTGTATGAGTTATTATTATTATTATTATTAATAATTTAACTGGTAATTTAGTGAATATATGTGGTTTATATTGTTTATTTTATTATTATTATTATGACGATTA